CACGATGGCCCCCTCCCCTCAGCTCACCAATTGGGTCCGTGATGGGCGGGTCTGGGCCTTGCTGCGCACGCGGTCGAGTCCCTGCCGGAAGAGGCCGTTCGGTCGGAGCCGGCGCGCGGCTGAGTATGGCGGGCACCCGGGGCACCGGGCGCGCGGCGGCGCCGGGAGTGCGACCGGGGAAGCGGCGGCCGGAGCCCGAACCGGAGGTTGAGCTGCAGCCCGAGGAGGTGAGGAGCCCCCAGGGCGGCGGGGGCATCCCGCCCAGGGTCCGACGTGCACGTGGCGTGGTGGCGGGGTGGCTGGGGGGGGGTGCGGACTGCGGGCGGAGCCCGGCTCCTGTCACCCTGCAGGCGGCCGGCTCTGCGCCGGTGCCTTGTACATCGGTCTTGAGGCGTGGTCGCATGTTCTCTGCTGGAAGAGTCTTTATGGGGGTCCTAGGCAGAGAGGACAGCCTGGGCCAGGGATGCCGCGGCGCGGAGCAGTTGTGTGAATGGAAGAACGGTGTCTGGGAAGGAAACAAATAGGAGAGGAGCTGGGAGTGGAAGTGGGCATCCTCTACAGCAGCCTCTGGGGTTCTTGAATTGTGCATCCTACCTTTAGAAAGATTTAGCTTGCACCCCCAGTAAATGCTAATGTATGCACTCCTTGTATTTTTATGCTAATGGGTTAGATGTGGGAATTGGGAAACCTGAACAGAATCCAGTGCCTGCTGCATTTGTTGTATCGTAACTCATTGCCCTTCTCCTGCTGCCTGGCAGCCCTGGCTTGATTGTGCAGGGGTCGTTAAATTGGTAGTAGAAGGCATAGCCAGCCTCTCACAGTCACTCGACTTAGCTGAAGTTGTTGAATTTGTCCCTTTGTTCTGTGAAAGGTACTCATGCTGCTCCTCGCAGCCCACCCCCTGAATGGCCTCAAGCCTGTAGGCAGCTCTGGCTGCCAGGCCTTGCTACTTCCACCCTGGGCTAAAAGCTTGCCAGGATTCAGTTGTGTTTGTACCCAAACCAATCATGTTTTTACCTGGAATTGTGACTGTGTAGCCACCTGAATATTAGGGACATCTTGAGTGAGTGTGTGTGAAAGTTGGTTCTATGAAAACTCAGTGCTATGAAACAGTTGGTAAATGCAGGCTGTCCAATTGGGTGAGACTTGTAAACTGCTAGAAAAACAGTGAAGTCTAGTAGCTTACACCTGTAATCCCAGCATTTGGGAGGCCAAGGCAGGAGAATCACTTGAGCCCAGGAGTTCAAGACCAGCCTGGGCAACATAGTGAGACTCTCAACTCTACAAAAAATTTAAAAATTAGCCCAGTGTCGTGGTGTGCACCTGTCTTCCAGGTACTTGGGAGGCTGAGGTGGGTGGTTTGCTTGAGCTCAGGAGTTTGAGGCTTCAGTGAACCAAGATCAGGCTACTGGGAAACAGAGGAATACCCTGTCTCTAAAAAAAGAAAAACAGTGAGGTCTATAATTCTGCACTCAGTTGCTTCCTAAGAGTCTTTGAGTTCTTGTTCAACCTTTTCAAAGCCAGCATCAGGACCCATCTGCTGTGTATTTTTCAACGACTATTGTGAGGCATGTAATGACCTCCAGTCAGCAGGACTCTACCAGACATCTGTGATCCTGCCCCAAGAGAGGAGTGACTGGGTTTTACTTGTTTATCATTAAAGCTGGCATCATTTTTATTACTCTTCAACCAACCTTTTCAATTTACTGATAAACTGTTGGTCCCAGTCTTGTTGGATAAGGAGGCTTCTACTTAAGGTGGTAAAAACCCTCTGAGCCCGCGGGTTCGAGACCCACCTGAGCAGGCGAGACCTCATCTCTACGATAAATCAAAAAATTAGCTGGGCGTGGTAGCGCGCGCCTGTAGTTCCAGCTACTTGGAAGGCTGAGGCGGAAGGATCGCCGGAGCCCAGCAGGTCGAGGCTGCGGTGGCTGGGAGTGGCCACTGCACTCCACTCCAACTCAAAAAAAACCCAACAAAGCCCAACAAAAACCCTTCAGGGAATCTGATCCTCTCCTGGCCGCCAGCCACTTTCCCCACTTAGTGCCCTTACACCTCTGGGTGCCTTTGATGCCAGGGTGGAATGCGTGGATCTTAGTGGGCAACGGAGAGCCAGTTTTGGTAATGCTATGGGAACTGAATTCTAAAAGGAAATTTTCCTTGAAAGGTTTCTTTCTCATGGGATGCTAGGAATTAAAATGTCTGTGCCAAAAGTAGGTGGCTGTATTGTCAGCAGAGGTAGAAGATGAGGAAGGCTCAGGTTGGGTGGATAGTTTTGGTGGAGGTGGAGGGTTGTGACTGGAGGGGTGTAGCCTTGGAAGCTGCAGTATAGAGCCACTGGTCACTGTCTGGGGGGACTGGGGGTGGCTGCTCCTGGTAATGTGGAGCATGCAGTGCCAACGGGGGCAGCAGTCACCAACCTGATGCTTTTTTTGCAGCCCTCTCTCTGTACCTCTGCTCCCAGCCACAGTGACGGCAGGGATTCTGGCCTCTCTGACAGCGAGGAGAGCGTGTTCTCAGGCCTTGAAGATTCTGGCAGTGACAGTAGTGAGGATGATGAAGACAAGAAAAAGGATGGAGCTAGCAGTGATGAGGGCCACAGCGCGATGGAGAAGACCACCGAGGTGCAGGTGGGTGAGTGAGGAGCCTTCCTGGTGGGCTCTCCTCCCTAGATTAAGGTGGCCAGGAAAATAAGATGCTTGCTGGGCTTTGGGCTTTCTGAGGCTGTACCTCCCAAAGTGCTGGGATTACAAGTATAAGTGACCGTGCCCAGCTTCTGCTATTTTTTTGTTTCACCTCTTCCACATTAGCAAAAAGTTTCCCTTTAAGGATTTTTTTCATCTAGGGAAACAAAATAAAGTTGCTCGGGACAAGATTGGGCAAATAGGGAGGGTGAGGCATGGAGGTCATGCCATTTTTGGGGTCAAAAACTGCTGAGCACTCAGTACGATGCAGGCAGTGTTTTTGCCACAACTTGAGACAGATGTTTCTTCTGCAAATTGTGGCACAATCTTCTCAAAATTTTCAAATACAAATTTTGGTTGAGCTGGGTGTGGTGGCTCATGCCTGTAATTCCAGCACTTTGGGAGGCGGAGGCGAGAGGATTGCTTGAGCCCATGTGTTTGAGACCAGCCTGAGCATCATGGCAAGACCTCATCTCTACAATACATAAAAAAGTTAGCTGGATGTGGTGGTGAACGCCTGTAGTTCCAGCTACTTTTAAGGCTGAGATGGAAGGATTGCCTGAGTCCTGCAGGTTGAGGCTGCGGTGGCCATGAGCCACCACTGCACTCCAGCCTGGGTGACAGAGTGAGACTCCGACTCTAAAAAAAACCAAAACCTTTGGCTGACCATTTGATGTGGTGGAACAAATTTCAAGTATACTACAGGCGACCCAAAAGATAATTCCAGATTTTTTGGGGGTCCCTTCTTGTACACTTCCAGCAGCTTTGGTGTTCTTGAAGTCTTAGCTAGTGCAGAAGCTACTCCTATGATGGAAACGAAGAAGCCATGGCTTGTTCAGTTTGTTCTAGTTACATTGGGTTGACTTGTTTACTAGGAAGAAAAGATTTAAAATTACATTTAAACCTTCCACCCATTCACGCTTTAATTGCAACCCAGATGTGCACAGAGAGAAAGTGACATGCTGTGCTAACCATGTTTGTAAGATTACAGGCAACCTTTTCCCCTCTTCTTTTTAAGTTTTTAAACTACAAAACACAACTTTCTTGAAAAGAATTTAGAGACTACATTAAGACTATTCAGTATAGTGGGAGCTTCTGCTTATGGCCCTCTCTTCTAACTGTGAGCACAGTTAACGGTTTGGTGTACATCTTTCTGGGTCTTTCCCTGTCTTTTAAAATTAGGATTTACACACTTAAATATTTAAAACTTTCCTTAATAAATTATTTGAAATAGTAATGTGTACAAGTATCTCAGAGGCACAAAAGGTATCTGGTAGAATGTGCTAGAGCACTGGGTCTTCCAAGCTGCTGAGCATGTGCTCGCCCCACCATGGTTCTCTGCTCACATTTCTGTAACTGGACATAACTGGCTGCTCTGCACCAGTTGTTTTCTGCAGCACCACCACCTGTGGTCTGTTTGCTCCATCATACAGCAGGATCTGAGGTTGCAACCTCAGTAAGAAATGGTGACTACCCAAAGCATGAACCTGTCTGCCCTCTGCTATCAAAGGTGTGCCTTCTGCAGCCTCAGGTTGGGGTAAGCGAGAAGCCTGCTTTGCTCAGCTCAGGGTGTTGCCAGCTTCCAACTAGGTGTCCATCAAAAGCGGGGGGCAGTCCAGTCTTTAGAGTGCCTTGTGCCACCGGTTGCTGCCCTGGGAATGAGGCCCTGCCTAGCTATGGTGCTTATGATTCAGTCTGATCTGTGCTTTACCTGAAGGGTATGTTTGGCCCCTGTTGGAGTATTTTTAGTCCTAAAGCATGTTCCTTATTCTTGGATTTAAATTCCTCCAGGCCAAGAGAATGAATTGAAGAGGTAGGGTGCTGTCAGTTCACCCTGTTCCTCCTTTTTCCTCCTGTTTCCCCCTTTTTTTCCACCCATTGCTTATAATCCATCCACAGTGGCCTGGCTGAGTGGACACTCCCTCCTGTCTCCCACTCATGCCCTCTTTGGGTGATGAGTGTTTTCCCACCATGCAGCCTTGTAGGTGGAAACTTAGCCAGCAGACCAGTCACTGCTTCCTAAATAATGTTTTGGCTTTCATGAGCTTGGCATCCAAGGGTGGCCCCTGTGTTGGCCTCAGTTTAGGCCTGTTTCTCTGTCATTCTGAAGCCAGTCCAGCGCTCCGTAGGCCTGTAACCGCCTAACCATGGATCCACTGGCCAGGCCCTCAGGCTCTGGCAACCACCCTTGTCCACCACAGCAGGTGGGTTGTTACATGTCACATCATCTGGAGTTTTCCACCCCAGGTGTTTCTGCCCTTGGGCATGGGTCCTCAACCTGATAACCCTTCTGTTCAGTAGCTTCTAGGATTAGGTTATCCCCCACCCAGTTCTGAGATTCATGCCCACCTAGTGACCCATCAGCTTCTGCTTCAGCCTTTCTGCCTAGTATCCCCACTCTGTAACGGAGAGCTCTCAGGATCCAGTAGTGCCTGGCCACAGCTACCTGTGCAGTCTTGCAAATCATTAGTGGTCTTAGTTGGCTACTTTGTAAGGGAAAGTAACATCTGTCTGGGAACCCACTGAGGAATGAGATGACATTTCTGTGTCGAGAGAAAGAAGCCCGACTGCTCCTACTCCCATTCCCACTGCCTCCTTTTTCAGGGACCTGCTTCTCATCAGGGGTGCTGATGACTGCCTAGCAGTGCAATTTTCTGCTCATTTCTTTTCTGTGTGCTGTTCATCCACTTTACCTGCTTTCATCGCTGTTTCCTCCACACCCTGTTGGCAAAACGTGACTTATCTCAGGGCTTCCACCACTTTCTACCAAGGACGAGTGGGCAACCACCCCTCTTCTTGGCCTATGTGCATCATGCATCTGAAGAATAGTATGGCCACAAAGTCACATCAGACTGGAGCAGTGGCGGGATCATGCATGGTGTTAGTCTCCATGCTTGTATAACGTCAAGGACGTGACAAGGACACATCAAGGTGGTCAGGGAAAGGTCCTAACTCCCCAAATTTTATTTATTTATTTATTTTTGGAGTCAGAGACTTACTCTGTTGCCCTGGCTGGAGTATGGTGGTATAATCACAGCTCATTTCAGCCTCGATCTCCTAGGTTCAACAGATCCTTCTGCCTCAGCCTCCCAAGTAGCTTGTAGTACAGGTATGAACCACCGTGCCCAGCTAATTTCTAAAATTTTTTGTAGAGGTCAAGTTTCACTATATTGCCTAGGCTGGTCTCGAACTCCTGGGCTCAAGCAGTCCTCCTGCCTCAGCCTCCCAATTACAGGCATGAACCACCATGCCCAGCCAGTGCAGACTTTTCTGTAGCAGATGTACCTGGCCCAGACAATGCAGTGATAAGGGTGGTTGCATGACTTACACAGGAAGAAGCTGGTGTTTTTATTTGTCTCTTCTACTATTCTGGTGGTAATGTGGTTGGTAGGTCACTTTCTGGGAGTCCTGCCCCATATTTGGATTCCAGGTGTATTTGCTTCAGGTGCTCCAGACAGACCAGGAGCAGCCTGCTAAGAGCATTGCACAGATAAGGGCTCTTGCAGCAGAGCCTGGGCGACTGTGGAGGTCTGCTGCTGACATGCTCCCATGGAGACCTGCTTAGACTGCCACCTTCCCACAGGGAGAGACTGGTTTCAGGTATTCTGTGACCATTTCCTCCCACACCTGTCCAGTAGTTGGCAGACACTGGTCCAGGTGCTCAGTGCCACTTGGGGTAGATATGTCCCAGTAGAGTAGGAGTGTACTCAGCTTGGATGCCAGGTGACATGCTTCCCTTTCACTTTCTGCTTCCTCCTAGGCCTTTAGCATTGACAGATATATGTTTACCATTTTCTTTTTAAGGGGTATACAGAATTGCATAATGTTCATCTGAATAGACAAAGGTATATGTGGGGGTATTAGAGGATACTCAAGGGCTCCTGAGGGGTATGCAAGGGAAAGGGTCTCCCATCCCACCCTGGTCTCCTGTTCCCAAGTCCAGGCAACTACTGTTTCCAGTTCTTTTTTTTTTTTTTTTTTTTTTGAGTTGGAGTCTCACTCTGTCACCCAGACTGGAGTGCAATGGCCGCTCCCGGCCACCGCAGCCTCAACCTGCTGGGTTCCGGCGATCCTTCCACCTCAGCCTTCCAAGTAGTTGGAACTACAGGCACGCGCTACCACGCCCAGCTCATTTTGATTTATTGTAGAGATGAGGTCTCGCCAAGTTGCCCAGGCGGGTCTTGAACCCACGGGCTCGGGCAATTCACTCACCTCAGCCTCCCAAAGGCGCAGGATTACAGGCTGAGCCACCGAGCCCGGCTGTTTCCAGTTCTTAAGTCTCTTTCCAGAATGTTCTTTGCATATCCAAGCTTGTGTGTATGTGTACAGAGTTTTTGAATGTTTTTTTTCTTCTTTTTCTTTTTGAGTCAGTGTCTCACTCTGTCACCTAGGCTGGAGTGCAGTGGCAGCCCCAGCCTCCTGAGATCAGGCGATCCTTTTGTCTCAGCCTCCCAAGTAACTGGGACTACAGGTGCATGCTACCACGGCTGGCTAATTTAAAAAAAATTTTTTTTTAGAGATGAGGTCTCTGTATTGCCCAGGCTGGTCTTGAACTCCTGGGCTCAAGCAATCCTCCTGCCTCCACCAAAGTGCTGAGATTACAGGATATGTGCCACCACACCTGGCTAATGCATGGTTATAATAGAAAGGGGATCATGCTACACAGCTGTCTAGGACATTTCTCTGTCAGGTTGTTGCTGTGGCATGTCCACAGTGCTCAGTGTCCATGAAGTGGGTAGTGGTGGCTGGCCTCACCAGCTCTAGTGTGTGGATAGATGCAGTCTTTTGCTCTTATAAATGGTACTACAGTAGCAACATCATTTATGCTATTTCTCACATGTGTGAGCAATTCTTGGGATAAATTCCAAGAAGAACTTTCTGGTCAAAGCGAGCTGCGCTGGGTGAGGTAGCTCATGTCTGTAATTCCAGCACTTTGGAAGGCGGAG